ATTTATTTATTTATTTATTTATTTATTTAATATGAAGGGTCTAGGCGGCATCTCACTATGTAGTCCTGGACTGACTTTGTAGTAATCCTCTTGCCTCTGCTTCCCCAAAGCTGGGATTATAAACCTGTGCCAATAGCTTAGATTGTTTTTACTTTTTTTTTTTTTTTCATCTTTTTGAGACAGGGTCTCCCTATGGCCCCAAACAAAACAGTGATTCAATATGTATCGCAGGCTGTCCTCCAGCTCCAGATCTCCTTGTCTCTGACTCCACATGCTAGGATTATAGGTGTGCATCACTAGGTCCTGCCTTAGATTTTTTTCTTGTCACCTTCTCTAAACATTGCAGTTTAGGGGCCTGTGACATGGCTCATCAGGTAAAGGTGCTTTTTGCCAAAGCTGATGACCTGAGTTCAATCTCCAGGACCCACATGATGGGAGAGAAGTGACTCTTGAAGGTTGTCCTCTGATCATACATATATGCCACGGCACACTCACCCCCCAATACAATAAATAAATTTAAAATATTACAGTTTATTACATTGTATTAGGTATAAGGAATCTGTACACGATTTAAAGTCTATGTTAGTATGTGTATGGCTCTATGCAACTACTACAGTATTTTATTTAAGGCATTTGAGTATCCTTCGTGTTTGGCTCTGTGGGCATCCTGGAGCATATATGAATACATATATATCTAGGTGCTAATTGGGAAAGGAAGTATAATAATTTTTGTTTTATTCATTACTATTTGGGGGCGGGTGTTTATGCCATGGTGTACATATGGAAGTCAGAGGACAACTTTGTGGAATCACTTCTTCCCTTCCACCTTTGATGCCTGGGTTCCAGACTCAGACCCCCAGTTATAATAACTCATGCATGTATTTTCCACTACCTCTTCTAAACCTATCTTGAAGGTCCTTTCTTTACTTTGGGGATGACCAGTTCTGGGGTCACAAATTCCATGAATCAGTCTGGGTTATGTGACAAGAGATTTTCTTTTAGCTACTTAAAACAACCTCTTCCAGACATTGAGAGATCACCACCAAAGTCTAGAACCATAGGCCAGGGCTCCTGACATCCCTTTCTGATGTCAGGAGCTCTCTTTCCTTCCAGATTTATTAGCTTAGGACCTTGCCTAGAGTGGGAGACTCTGAACAGCAACTAGTATTCTGGTGATGGCACATCCGGGCCCTTCAAATAAAGTTCAATCTAATTTTCAAAATGTTTCCTGAATCCAATCTGGTACTATGCTGGCTTCACTGCTGACAGACAGCAGCTGTCTATATAGATGCCCTGTCCTGGCCTCTGACCCCTCACTTCCCCTACTTTGCTTCTGTAATCAGTGATTTAACTGAGGAACCTGTTCTGCAGGGTGCCTCAGGCAGTGGCACTGTTTGGTGAAGTCACTAAGCCCTAGAAATTGACCATTTACCAACCTATAGGGCTTTGGGTCATCTCCTGTGTCATTTATCTTTTGGTTCAAATTGATGATGACTTCAAATGAAGTAAGGCTGGACTTGGTGCATACCTATAGTCTACTTGGGAAGCTGAGGTAAGAGGATGGCTTGAGCTCATGAGTTTGGGGTCAACTTGAGCAACATAGGAAGAAGCTATCTCAAAACAAGCATGTAGGACTTGGGAAGATACAGCTCAGTTGGTAAAGTGCTTGCCACACAAGCATGGGGACCTGACTCTGGATCTTCAGCACTCCTATAAAAGGTGGGCTTGTCAGTGCCTACTTCTAATCCCAGCACCAGAGAGGCAGAGACAATTGGATCCCTGGAGCTTACTGGCCTGACAACCTAGTCACATCAATGAGCTCCAGGTTCAGTGAGAGATCCTATTTCTAAAATATGAAAGTGGAGATGGCTCAGAGGGTAAGGGTGCTTATCATCAAGCCTGACAGCCAGGGTTCAATCACCGAATTCCACATGATGGAAGAAGAGATCTGATTCCTACAAGCTGTCCTCTGACCTACACACATGTAAGAATGCATGTACGAATGCACACATACACACACACACACACACAAATAAATGTAAAAAAATTTTAAATAGAGAGGGACTGTGATTAAGGAAGCTATCCAACATCAGTCTCTGACCTCCACCCACATGCACACCCACACACAAACAAATAGAAAACAAAATCCCCAGTAATTAAAACAGACTTTTTGTGTGTGTGAAATTCTTTCATGGCTTAGGTTGGAGCTGCTCATGTGATACTGGTAAACATCCTGAGAAGAAATTCCATTCATTCTTTTTTACTGCAACAAAAAAAAAGTAGCATTTATTATATTTATTCAATTCTAGGTCCTTCTCTCCGTGAACTTCTACTGTGTAGCCATTTCCTCTGGATTGAAACATTCCCCTATGAGGGAAGCAGAAGAACCATTAAACTCATAAGAAAGGTCTGAGTCTAGGGGTTTGGGACTTCTATAAATTCTGTCCCTGAGCTTCTATAAGCAGCAAATGATGGTGATAGAGAGGAGATTCTTTCATGGAGCTGCTGCAGGTTGTGCAAGGAACTCCAGAGATACAGCTTTTGTGAGTCATCACCATGCTGGGGTGGGCTTTTGGGTGATCGTGAGTCATCACCATGCTGAGGTGGGTTTTGGGTGCTGCAGCTCCCTGTTGGTCACCCATGCTTTGTAAGTAGTCCCAATAACCTCATTGGTTCACCAAGCTAGACTTGTGTGGAATTAAAATTGTTTCCCTGATCTGTCCTCAATGTCTTATCTGGGGAGAATAGATATTTCTTCATATTGACTCAGGAACTTTTTTTTTGTTTGTTTGTTTGTTTTTGATCTTTTTGAAACAGGGTCTCCCTGTAGCCCCAGCTGTCCTGGAACTCACTATGTAGACCATGCTGGCCTTGAACTCACAGAGATCCGCCTGCCTCTGTCTCCTGAGTTCTGGGATTAAAGGCATGAGCACCACCACGCCCAGCAGGAACTTTGTGAAGTAACTTCAGATTAGTTTAAGCAAGAAATTAAAAATAGAAAGGAAGGACTTGAAAGTGGTGGTTTCCTTAGACCCTTAAAAAAATTAAACTAGGCAGGCGGCACACAACTGTAGTCCCTGTGCAAACAAGGATGAGGCAGAAAGATCAATGAGTTCAAGACCTGCCTGGACTGCACAGTGAGTTTACAGGGTCAACCAGGACTATATGGTGAGACCCTGTGGTGTATGCCTTTAGTCTCAGTACTTGGGAGGCAGAGGCAGGGGGATCTCTGTGAGATCAAGGCCAGTTTGGTCTACATAGTGAATTCCAGGTCAGTTGGGGCTACAGAGAGATCCTGTCTCAATAAATAAACAAATAGCACTAACACAGAAACACAAAATAAAACAAAATAAACTAGGCTTGGGCAGCTGCAAGCCAGCAGGTCCTTCACCTCACCCTTAGCCATGACCATTACTCAGCTTCTCAACATCTACATCATTTAGGTCA